TTTCTATTTATGGCTAGGCCTTTCTAAGGCACGTGTCGCGGTAGTATCCTGCACCCTAGATGCAATGTCAGGGAAGCGAAGCCATCCTAGGACTGCGTGTGTATGCAACTCACAGGGGGACCATCCGGTGTCATGTGGACCCAGATTTGTAGATCTAAATGAACCAGGTCAGCTTTTGAGGACAAACACAGACCCAGCCCTCTGCATCAGCTCTGCAAGTGGTGCACAGACCCATAGTGCTTTGCAGCGCCCAGGGACAGTGGTAGCGTTGGCTCCTTGGTGGGCTACACTCCTGCTCCCCTGGCTCAGGAAGCTCCTCGTCACCAACACCATGAGGTTAGGGCTCTGTGGATATCTGGCAAGGAGAGACATCCCCAGTGTCTTTTTAGAGATCTCCAAGTCTCTGGGGACTGTTTCCCTTTAAGGATTAGCAATTTGGCCCAGAGTCTTGAAGTTATTTAGGCTCCTAATTTGTTAGAAACCTAAATCCCTTTGAGGATCCGGACCTTTCTGCTTTGAGAATTCCTCTTTCATGCAGCATGCAAATGGGAGAGAGACAGAGAGCTACAGATGGGGGGTGAATGGTCAGTAACATTTCTCTGTCTCTAACTGGCTGCTGCAGCGTTCCTGCTGATCTCATCCCAGAATTAGGAAAAAAGAGAACCCTGTAGCTGTACCCCCACATAGGGGGCTAACAGTGCAGTGGTTGCAACTCAGTGGAAGCTGATAGGGAAGATTAGCATTGTCCAATAAAATTTGGTCTTCTAGGCTTCATTTACATGCAAAAATTGCTCCAGTTTAAATTAAATCCGTTCAAAACCCGATTTAGATAAGCCAGGGCAGAACTCTGGGTAGACTTGTATTTCAGTATGAGAAGGACTTGCTTCAGTTTAGCTTAAGTGAATACAAAACTGGCTTAAACTAAATCCATATAAGCCACTCTTAAACTGAAATAAACAAATCAGTGTGAAAAAGGTGGAAATGGCACAGGTGCTTAATGACTTTGTTTCGGTTTTCACCAAGAAGGTTGGTGCTGATTGGACGTCTACCAGTGAATGTCAATGAAAATGAGGTATGATCAGAAGAGACTAAAATGGGGAAAGAACAAGTTAAAAATTACTCGACAAATTAGATGACTTCAAGTCACCAGGGCATGATGAAATGCATCCGAGAAAACTCAAGGAGCTGACTGAGGAGATATCTGAGTCATTAGCGATTATCTTTGAAAAGTCATGGAATACGGGAGAGATTCCAGAAGACTGGAAAAGGGCAAATATCGTGCCAATCTATAAAAAGGGAAATAAGGACAATCCAGAGAATTACAGACAGTCAGCTTAACTTCTGTACCTGGAAAGATAATGGAGCAAATAATTAAGCAATCAATTTGCAAACACCTAGAAGATAATGAGGTGATAAGTAACAGTCAGCATGGATTTGTCAAAAACAAATCATGTCAAACCAACCTGATAGCTTTCTTTGACAGGGAAACAAGCCTTGTGTATGGGGGGGAAGTGGTAGATGTGTTCTCGGCTCTCTGAGCTGTGGTGCAAACGTAGTATCTTGACTGTAGTAAAGCTTTTGATACTGTCTTGCATGACCTTCTCATGAACAAACTAGGGAAATACAACCTAGGTGGGTGCAAATGTGGTTGGAAAACTGTTCCCAGAGAGTAGTTATCAGTGGTTCACAGTCAAGCTGGAAGGGCATAACGAGTGGAGTCCCACAGGGATCAGTTCTATGTCTAGTTCTGTTCAATATCTTCATTAATGATTTAGATAATGGCATAGAGCGCACACTTATAAAGTTTCCGGATGATACCAAGCTGGGAGGGGCTGCAAGTGCTTTGGAGAATAGGATTAAAATTCAAAATGATCTGGACAAACTGGAGAAATGGTCTGAAGTAAATAGGATGAAATTCAGTAAGGACAAATGCAAAGTACTCCACTTAGGAAGGAAGAATCAGTTGCACACATACAAAAGGAGAAATGACTGTCTAGGAAGGCGTACTGCAGAAAGAGATCTGAGGGTCATAGTGGATCACAAGCTAAATATGAGTCAACGGTGTAACGCTGTTGCAAAAAAAGCAAACATCATTCTGGGATGTATTAGCAGGATTGTTGTAAGCAAGACACAAAAAGTAATTCTTTAGTTCTAGTCCGTGCTGATTAGGCCTCAACTGGAATATTGTGTCCAATTCTTGAAGCCACATTTCAGGAAGGATGATCATGTGGACAAATTGGAGAGAGTCCAGAGAAGAGCGACAAAAATTATTAGAGGTCTAGAAAACATGACCTATGAGGGAAGATTGAAAAAATTGGGTTTGTTTAGTCTGGAAAAGAGAAGACTGAGAGGGGACATGATAACAGTTTTCAAGAATGTAAAGGATTGTTACAAGGAGGAGGAAGAAAAATTGTTGTTCTTAACCTCTGAGGATAGGACCAGAAGCAATGGGCTTAAATTGCAGCAAGGGCAGTTTAGGTTGGACATTAGGAAAAACTTCCTAACTGTCAGAGTGGTTAAGCACTGGAATAAATTGACTAGGGTGGTTGTGGAGTCTCCATCATTGGAGATTTTTAAGAGCAGGTTAGACCAACCCCTGTTGCAGGGGAGGGATAGCTCAGTGGTTTGAGCATTGGCCTGCTTAAAGCCAGGGTTGTGAGCTCAATCCTTGAGGGGGCCACTTAGGGATCTGGGGCAAAATCAGTATTTAGTCCTGCTAGTGAAGGCAGGGGGCTGGACTCAATGACCTTTCGGGGTTCCTTCCAGTTCTAGGATTGTGTTATTTGTACTATCATAGGGTCTAGAAGCAGCAGTCATGGATGAGGACCCCTGCTGTGCTAGGTGCTGTACAAATACAGAACAAGAAGACCCTAAGTAGAAGGCAAAGGACAACAGATGGGTTTTGATAGATAGGGGAGGACCAGGAAACTCTGTGACAATAGTTGCCAGCATGATAGGCCACGGTCTCCACACACCAGCAGCCTTATAAATAAATAATAAAATAAATGTCTACAGAGACTTTGCTCCAGTTTAGCTAAATCATTTCTTGACCCAATTTAAGTTAAGTTGGTGCAGCTTTGGTTCGGTTCTTTTTGCTGAGGCAGCGATTGCACGCCCTCTGGCTGAGGGGATGGAGGAAAAGACTTTGTCAGCTATTTCCCTGTTATTAGTACCCATCAGAACCTGGCAAGCCCAGCTGCAGCCGATTGAAAGTCACAGGATTCCCAGACCTGAGGCAGAGTGGGGCTTGTGGGGTAGATAGCTTTGCAGGAAAAGCTGGGAATCACTACAGGCTGGAGGAGCAGGTAATCAAGGGGAATTTATTTCTCTGTTTCTTTTGCTGAGTGTTAATGAATCCTATTTAAACAACTGATTTCTACTTGGTCAAAAACAACTGGCTTGTTTGCTTTTTAACTAGCCAGCTGCTGTATCTAGCCTGAGCCAAGTACCTGCTCCATCACTGTGGCTAGGGTTGGGCGAGCCGTGGTGTTCTACCAGTTTGTACGGCCATGTGATCTGCTGCATGGAGTAACTGACTAAGTACGTGTGGTGAATTTAGAGACTGTCTGTCTTGTGCTGTTATTTTGGTGACAGGGACAGTAGGGTCCTTGGGAAGAAGCAAAATAATTGGGCTGCACCATCTGGAGAATGAAATGACACTTACTAACAAAATTGATCAGAGAATTTTTACCTTCGCTCCTCCTCTGTGATGCTCTTCTAAACTTTACAGCAATGAACAAAATCAAAAGTAGAACCAGCAGGACGGATGGGATCAGGATGTAGAGGACGAGGTTTGGTATACTAGGCGAAGGAGAAGAGAATGTTTGTTTCTACTCTTAACGGTCACACTTTGTTATATAAAGATTAGACGTAGCTCTTGCTCCCCTCTCAAGTTGTTGGAAAGGGTGGGGAAGTATTAGCCAACCCCTATCTGTTTTTTACAACTGGGAAACTGAGGCACAAGTACAGTGACTTGCATCAAAGAAGCACATGGAGTCAGTTGCAGAGCTGAGGCTAACACCTTGCTACGCTGGATTTCAGCATCAAACTGAATAAACAGAAACCATTCAGCAAAGGAAAATAT